ATAGTTCACATATAAAGCCCAAAGGTCTGTGATGACACATTGAATGTGGCACTTCACGTTAATATCTCACATCATGACAGCTCAAGTAGAAATCAAGGATTTTTAGGTGGATTTCAACACCATGATATCAGCGCTCTTGCTGGTCAAGCTTTACCAGCTGTCCCTGTCCTGTGACCATGCACAGCTGTTCGTAAAACATTGAGCTTTCAAACTGTAGAAAGCACATAATAAGTCTGAGAAGCACACATCAAAGACCCTGAACTGCAGCGATGAGCTGTGCTCATAGGCTGTGGGCTGTTTCCTCCTGCAGCTCTCTGTCAAACTACATCAGTTTGCAGATGACAGAGTGTTGTTCAGACTGAAAAGAGACAGGAGTTGCAGTTATGAAACAACAGTTTCATAATATAACCCAAAAATCACAAATTTGTCTGAGGGCTTTAGAATCTGTACAGAACTTAAGACCCTCACCGTCTTAAGACTCTTTATTCGATGATTGTAGATTTCAGGAGAAGACCCACAGCCTCTGTTTTAACCTTTGGATGATACTCCACCTAAGATCTATCTTTTTGTATTTTAATCTTTTAGAGAGAACAAAAGTCACATACAGAAGCATCTCATGTATATGTTTTAGCAATATTTTCAGGATAGCACTTTGAGCGACATGTATTTCAAGCCAATACCCTCTATATATATATCTTATAACTTCTGTTTATAGTTTTACACACACCGGTGCCAGTATCTATTTATATTACATGCATGTTGCTCTACAGGATCACTGCTGCATTACCTTATCTGCTTGTTTAGTATTTCTTTGTATACATTTCTTGAAATTTAATGAATCTAGATCAGAAACAATTATGCGATTGGTAATTTGACAGAATCCTCAACAATCTCGTTAATTGTTCGTCATTTATCAAGCAAAGGCGCTGGTTCCATCTTAACTAATGTTAATATTTGCTGCTTTGGTCTGTTTTATATCATTATGAATTGAATGTCTTTGAAATTGGATACTTGCAATTTTTCTGCGATTTTATTGAGGATTAATTGTTAGAATAATCAAAAGGCAAATAGTTATTATTTGCAACCATTTAAGAATCATGTACACTATTATGTTTATGTACAGTGTGTCTTAATGTCATCAGTCTTACAAAACTACCATCTTACAGAAAGTAACTTTAACTTCCCATGGAGCACTTAAATTGAGAGTGAGAAGTTGATAATGAAAGGAATTGAGAAAATGAGTTCACTGTGTGTCATTATGTGTCATTATGTGTCATGCCATAGCAAATGAAATCACTGTTGCTCCACCACCCTGTTGGCTTTTTCCCTGCATGGCTTAAACTGAATTTCCCAAGTTGGCTCTGTGCCTGGGAGATACTTTGGGCATGACCCGTGCTATTAACCCAGCGTGTTGTCTCCCTTGGTAATGACAGCAGGTAAAATGAGCCAATTTTGTTTTGGTTGTCAGAGACATTGATTTATTGTACGTTTTGGCACGGGACTCGTCATCACTAGTCTTTGTTTGTAGTCAATTAAGTGCATTTGGAATTTTTGTATCAGATTTTCACATCAGAATGCTATCTTAGGGATGTGAGGAAACAAATCTTTCTCTCTCTAAATTGTTTCTGCTTTTATCTCAACACTTTGAAATAGCATTAATTCTCACTAGAAAGCCCTCCCGGATGCTCCACATCTCGTAAATTATCTTTTCATTGAACAGCAAAAATTGATTGTACATTCAGTTTAGTCTATTGTTCACAAAACAAAGGCGATGAGCCTGAAAGAAAGCATTTTACAGAAGCACTCACCAGAGACAGCTCATGTGCTGATGTCATTCAACATGGGCTTTCCAAGTTAGCACAGCGTGCTAGCACCATTGCGATTCAGTCATAGAAAATGACCAACTGATCAAAGTTTAATATTTATGATGATTGGCGCCTGTCATTGGCAGCCCACTGCTCCCTATATACAGGGATGGGTAATATGCAGATGTCAAATTTCATGTATGTGTATATGTATATGACAATAAAAAGGGTTTCTATCTCTATTCTATTAAATTATAATCTGAGAAGGAGCTTTGTTGAAGGAGGGAGGGTATTTGTTATTCTAGTGTATTAGCAGGGAAGCTGCACACAGCTGTTCTTAATAACCATTATTAGTGCCAGCCAAACGACATGCACTGTGATTCCAGAGTTGCAGCTCACTCTTTATCCATTCACTTCCTTATGATTCTTAAAAGCCAAGTAGATTTCTAGTAGCTGTATGGAGCTGGTTTTTGTGTCCCTGTTTCGTTTATCCTGTGCAGTCAAATGCTGTCACATAGGGATGTTAATAAGATCAGTTAAATGGTTAAAAGAAATATTTAATTTTTTCACAAGTTAAGCAAAACTCAGGTGATATGCTTTTCAGGAGAATAGCTGGTCAGCCCACCTTAAGAGAACATGAATTAGAGTTGTTGCTAACTCCCCTCACTTTAATCAGCAGGTGGCAAGCAAGACACAGGAACTTGGCTTTGTTCTTGAGGAGTTGTAATATTTATTCTAAGAAAAATAAACTGTACACACACTGCCCTGCTATGTTCACAACTAAATGGCAATGCACGCGACATCGTGGCTCCTAACTCTCTGGTATGGACGAACTGGGGACTCAGTTGCCTGTTTCGTGCATCGGTTATTGTTGCAGCTGGGCAGCTTGTAATGGCACTTCAACCACAGCACACTGCAATGCAAGGCACTAAAGTTTTCCGTTAATGATCATTAACAAGGGCCGGCTATCAGTCAGAAATAGTATTTAGGATATTAAGTATAGTATTTATAGTAAGTATTCCAGGGTTTAACAGGTCGCGGTAAAGATATGCTGCAATGTGCCAGCAAACATGGGAGAAGAAGACTGCAAGCTAGTAAACATTGATGTTAACAAATGTTTTATGATGAAGGAATTACACTTGAGACATTTGTTAGACCTCAAGGATAAACACAATATATTTGGGGGAATAACACTAAATGTGAACATTAGTCTGTCAGACTGAAAACCTGTTTGTGTGATCCCTTTTTCCCTCTGCAAACAAGTGAACATAACTTTTGGTTGTTTAAAGTAAAACTCCACAGGGCGTCTTTAAAGGAACAGATTCATCTTTTTTATTTTGGGCAACACTAGCAACATGGCTCTTGGGATGGCAATGTCGGTCTGTTAGGTGGTTGGTCAGTCTGTCACTTTGGTCCTGACTGAAATATCTCAACAAATATCAGATGGTTTGTCATGGACATTTGTGTAGACATTCATTGTTCTCAGACAATGTGTTCATATGATGTTTGTGATCCTCTGCAGGATTATATTTTTGATTCAGAGTAAAATATCTGGACAACTATGGGATAGATTGCCATGAAATTGTGGGAAACAGTCATTTCTGCATGAATATATAAGTAATGACCCACGATTACTTTAAACGTTTCCCACCTGATATTATTGCACAGTAGACTATGTCAGTGGTTTCCATTGAAGCTCTGCAGATAGATATAGAGATGGATTGCATGCTACCTCTACTTCATTTGACGTTCAAAATAAAGTCTGCTGAGCGTTGAAAATGATCTGATAATGTTCAGAGGGTGTTTTCAATGCTATACACACAATACAGCAGGCCCCAACCCCAACTTTGGCCATAATACATATACTAACATATAATATTTTGGCCAATAAAGAATAACTGGAGCCATACTACATTCATGAATATTTAGATTGAGACTTTTTTTCCAACCTTCTTCACAGAAACATTTTGCAGCGTTTAGTTGGTGAAAATTGCTGCCAGGGAATGTAATCACTGAGAGCATCTGAAGCCTCCTACTCTCTCCACCCTTCTACTTAATAATTCAACAACAAGCATAGCCTCTGTGGGCATTCACTGTGAAAGGGAGCGCATGACCTCCAGCACAGCAGCAGGTGGTATACTGCAAGAGGTTGCATTGTGCAGAAATTGATGTTAAGTTGCTTTGCTCTTCGCTGTCTATTTTTAGTGGATTTTTTGCCAGGGCTCAAGAATATTTGGAATAAAATGTCACACATTGATCTACAGGCAAAAGGACATTAGTGTTAATAACACTGAGAAGATCTCATTGATCTTTCAATTACACTTTTTTAATGTTACAAATTTTGTTTTCCAGGTAAACCAATCCACATTATACATTTTGCATGCAGGAAAAGTTCCTCATTATACTGCTAGGTATCACGCATGACTGTAATCAGTTAACTGTACGTACAACACTTTATAAAGTTAACTGGTATATGTGGTGATCATCAGTGAAAATATTTTTTTTGCAAACGTTGAAACTGTCTTGCACAAAATCAGCAATTGTTTACACATAAAAGCTGTATTAACTTTCTACAGCACTTTCCTGTCTTCATGAATCACTGTGCTCGCGGTTACAATAATATCATTTGAATCAGTCAAGGGCAGAAAAAGTGTCACTGATCCAGTTATGCAATCTAATAAAATGGAATCGATGTTTTGAAAAGCCACGTATAGCAGAACTGCAATATTGAAGCTATTTTGATTTTAAATCGCCGTTACATGCAAATGAGCCCAAGCAGAGTGTGCAGACATGTTGGGTTGTCATAGCAGCCAGCATGAATGATGCCACAGCTCTGGAGCCAGCTGATACATGCGGCCATTACAACTGTGGTTGACACAGTTTCTCTTATGACAAAGTGTTGTACTTATGCCAATCAAGACTGAGAACGAAAGTATGAAAGTATGAAAACAAATTGTCAATATGTCCTACCCTAACACACCTTCTGGTCCATAGTGAATCATATTATTTATAATTTTCTCTATTTAAAAAAAAATGTATTTAGACCAAGATGTTTATTTACACAGAAGAAAATGTTGCCCAGTACACCGCTAACTCAGACCAGATTAATCCAATATCAGTTGCAATTAATTTATCACGTTGAGATGGCAGGGAAGTAATCCCATTTGTTAAATGACTGTTGAATCTCTGTTTTAGATTACGATGTCTGGTGAAGCAGCTGGAGAGAGGAGAGGCTTCCCTCACTGATCTCAAGAAGAACCTAGAATATGCAGCGTCGGTGCTAGAATCTGTTTATATCGAGGAGACGAGGTAAGTAAACAACAGCTTTCTACAGTGGAACAAGTATTGACATGGTTAATTTATGAAGAACAATAGTGCAGCACTGACAAATATAGAATACAGAATCACACACCGTGATGACGAATATTACACTAAATGTATAACTAAATGTGTAACAGGCATATTGCAAACCGTACCTTAACTCTGAATTACTTTTAAATATAATTTACTGAGATACTCTACTTACTTACCACTACATTTCAGAGGGAAATGTTGTACTTTTTACTCCACTACGTTTATCTAATATCTATAATTACTACTAACTTTTCAGATGGAGGATGCATTGTTACCGCTGCCAATGAGGTTACATTTTTGGTTCAGTTTGTTTCTTTTACTTTTAGTTAAACAGGATTACAGGAAAAACTACTGGCCTGGTTTCCATGAAACATGGTGTTAGGGTGTAGCATTATTTCAGAATTTCGATAACTTTAAGTGTGCCTCTCTAATTATAGATTACACTACCCAAAAGCATATGACCAGCTACAATATTTCAGTAAAAGTGCTGACATTTTAATACATCAATAATATTTTGAAGGGCACTCTCAGTGCACAGACCACCACCAAGGCCAAATGCCCTATTGCCGATATTCAGATCTGCTTCAAAAATCATGTGGTTTCTTTATTGACCCATGCTGCAAACTTCTACCCGATTTCATGAAAATTAGGCCAGTAGTTTTTACGTAATCCTGCGGACAAACAAACAAACAGAACCAAAAACATAACTTCCTTGGCAGAATAATAATGCATCACTGTTTAATTCTGCGCTTTTACTGAAGTAGCTTTTGAATGCGATACTTCTAAATGTAATGGAGTATTTATTACATTTATATTGCTATTTAAACAACCTAAATACTTCTTCCACTGCCAAATATGAGGTTTATGGTCATGGAAAAGTCATGGATCGATTGTTGTAAAGATATGGTTAAGATTAGGGAATATGCAAGGTCAATGTATGTCAATAGTGTAGTGCAGGTCCAGAATCTGAGATATGATCGGGTTTATGGAATTATGTAAGCCTCTCGTCATCTAGATCCCAGCAGATTAGGGCCAGCGATGGCAGGACCACTCCAAGATGAAGGATGATGAACTATCCAGTGCAGAGTCCATGTAGCACCATGATTATCAGTGTGATGTGAATGTTTTCTCTATGCCATAAGAACATGTATTTAGTTCAGAGGGTGGAGACCAACAGGCTTTGCTCTTGATCCCCTGTACATGTCAACACAACAGGGTAGCTGTGGAGAATGATGTCACACAATTGGATTTGAATACTCCATCATGGTGTTTCAAAAGGCCTGGGATGTTTTAATGTTACATAAGAGGTGATATTATTTGATGGACAGCGCTGGGATTTTGAGTTTGCTGCAATAAAGGCTAGATATTTCAGTAAGCCTTTTGTCTCTCTGCATCTGTCTGTGTCCCCTTTTCTTTGCTTCTTTTCTATTTGTGTCTGTCTTTTACCTTACATACCTCCTTTCTCCCTTCTTTCAGGCGTTTGGTGGACACAGAGGATGAACTCAGTGACATCCAGTCAGAGTCGGTTCCCTCAGAGGTGAGGGATTGGCTGGCCTCAACCTTCACCCGCCAGATGGGCCTGATGCTGCGTCGCAATGAAGAGAAACCTCGCTTCCGCAGCATCGTCCACGCCGTCCAGGCGGGCATATTTGTTGAGAGGTAACGTGTTTGTGATGAGCAAGCACACAGCCGCATTCACATATCGGCGAGTAGTCATCAATGTTGAATAATTAATATGGATTGTCACCTTTATCTTTCCCCGACTGAAGTCGCAAATCTATCATTGTTCAAGTGTAGCCCACACCGACTTAAAGCAGTTCTATCAACATCTTTAGTTCGGCCTTGAATAATGAAAAGACAACCATGGTGTTCTCACACAGTGAATCTTCTGCACGAACACTTTTTATTACTGATGTTTTGCAGAGCATTGCTGAAGTAAATATTCTTTAGTTTTAGACTGTTGGTTGAACAAGATAAGACATTTAATGAAATGCCACTGTGCTTGTGATCGACATTTGTCACAGTTTTCTGGTGTTTTATAGACCAAACGATTAATCCGTTAATAGATAAAACAATATAATAGTAATAAGTAATCACTTGTGAAATCAAATATTAGTTGCAGCCCTAATGTAGTGTGCTATATTTACTCTTTGCCATTTCATTTGAGTGTCCTGATTGTGTGAAATGTATGCACTACGCAATGTCCACAATACAACCATGTACACTTCTTTCTGCTAACAATCACTCAATGCAGATGCCAAAATTCTACATCGCCATTATTGATTCATAAGTGTCTGAAATCTCAACTTAGAATCTCAACTCTGGAGTAAATTATTGACTGATCTCTATTATGCAGTAAATAGATTCTATAGGCAGAAGTGAACGAGGGATTTGGGGTACAGGGAATTGTCTAGGTTAGAATATAGTTGATTGTTAATGTGGAGCATATTTCTCAACTCTCTCTGAACTCTCTATTTGTCCTTTACTGAATGAAAACTAGTGGCAGCTGAGAAGCTGGAGAAGCCGATTCAAAACTCTAAACCACTACAAGTGGGTCTGTAAACTGGTCTGGTCTTTTAACATTTAAATTAGTTGGAAATGTGTTTGTACTCTCTGAACAGTCACTCACTCACCTGAGTCACCCATCACAGCCTTGGCAAGCCCCGATAAACACAATCATTCAGAGACTTGCGAACGGCTCCCTCTCCAAAATCACATACTAACATGCAACATACATTTGTTCAAATCAGTAAGCCTCAAACATGTAAGCTGTAATCTTTCTTAATCTGTTGTTACAGAGGGCCGTCTGTTATCAGACATTTACAATGAAGAAAGATTGGAAAAGGGAGGATGAAAATGAAAAGGTGGAACAGTGATGAAGCATGAGGTGTCCACCATTTTAAATTTGAAAGAATGTCCTGTTCTAACAAAATGGCCAGCTTTATATCAAGTTGCATTCATGGAAGTTATTGTAAAACTTTAAGTAATTGCATATTTTGTTGTATTCCACTGTTTTTTTTGGATGCTGAGCAATGCACACCAACTTCTAATATTCCACTAATGTCATTGAGAATTACACATCTTGTATTGCAATATGAGATTAAATGGATCTATATTCTATCCTTCACATTCGACAAAGCCTTAAGCCATTGCCATGTGAAAAAAAACTCCTTTTCTCAACTAAACCTTTTCAGCACAGTTTCAAACCAAATTGTGTTGATTTGAGGGTTTATAGTTTGTCTTGGTGGGGGACCTTCCAGGCCGTGGTTTGGTAACCTTTGGTGTTTACACTCAGCGGTGCGCTTCATTTGATGTTTTTATCTCGTCCAAACAGGATGTACCGTCGTACCTCCAATATGGTGGGACTCAGCTACCCCCCTTCTGTCATATCTGTGCTTAAGGTATTAACACGTGCACACACATCCAAGCAGAAGCTCACAGATATGAAATAACAACTTTGTACACTTGTGCCAAAATCAAGACTGCATACCCTGAGCTATTTACAAGAATTAGATTTGCAGTACCACACATCTTAACCCTTTTTTTCTGTAAAGATGAATACATTACTTGAGGGGAAACCTGTTATTTTACATTTTTCTTCCCCTCACAGCATGTTGACAAGTGGTCGTTTGACGTGTTCGCTCTGAATGAGGCCAGCGGGGATCACGCACTTAAATTCATATTCTACGAGTTGCTCACAAGATACGACCTCATTAGCCGTTTCAAGGTAAAGCCTCAAGGATATATATATATATATATATGTGCACTGTACTGCTGGTCATTGCTTTGTCATTAAAACAAGGAAAAGCTAGAAATATTCCGTATAGATCACAATAACCTTCACAATGCCTGATTTGCTGGAAGTCAGCTCACTCACTTCTGTGTCTCATAAGTGTTAGATCGTGTTGTGTCTCAGCAATGACTGAATTATAAAAGGGGATGGACATACAGTACTCTATCTCATCTGACACTGGTGGAGCCGATTTTCCACAGCGCCTTACAGCTGAGGACACTTCACTTTAAGTGACAGCATCTTAGAGTAAATGACATGGGCAATGAAGCTGACATGAATATGTAATCATAGTCTGCAGTAGCCTAAATGATTCACGATCCATGATTTTATGACATCAATTTCAGATGCTGCGGGGACTGTGCGTGTAGCGAAATTGTATGCAGTCATCATTTAAATCGCTCAATAGCTTTAAGAAGTGTCTTACTGTCTGCGGTGTTTTTTTTTTTTTTTTAAGCTGGCAGTCATTTGTCGTTGTTGTTTTGTCTGCCGTCAGATCCCGATCTCTGCGGTGGTGTCATTCGTGGAGGCCCTAGAAGTGGGATACAGCAAACATAAAAACCCCTACCACAACCTGATGCACGCTGCTGATGTCACGCAGACTGTACACTACTTGCTACTCAAGACTGGCATGGTGGTAAGTAGGATTTGACTGCACAATTACACGTTAGACACCTACATAACCCAGTTGAACATACAAGCGTTTCTTTGGTTCCCAGTAGGAAAGCTTAGTCTATATAATCATATTATCCACATGAGATTCAGAACATCAGCTGCCGTATGCCAGCCTTATTGTAGCTTTTTTTTTTTATTGGAGTATCCATTCCTTAAACAAGACAAGATATCCCCGTCTTGCTCAGGGCAGGTTTGAGAACATCAACCCACATATCTAAGATCATCTGTCAAAATGGGACACTCATTAAGGATCATTGTCTCAACATTTGAAGTTCATTTGTTTTGTTGCCCAGACGTCACTTCATATTTCATGTTCCTTTTGTTCTTTTTTCATCTTGTGACCTATATTTCACTGCTTCCCACTGGAGTGACTTTAGGGCATTTCTGATGCTGCATCCATTCCCAAAAAAAAAAATCCTTAGCCTCGCTAAAGCCGAGTTCAAAGTCCCCCAACCAGCCAACCAGCTGGCCGCCCCCGCTTCCAGTGTTTTTATTTAATCACCGTAATAAGGTGGCTGCGACAGCTGTCGACATGGTGTGTTTCTTTGGGCACTGCCTTGCAGAGTAAACCACATTACTTCTAGAACCACGGGCTCCTGGGAGAGCAGGAGAACAGCATCTATCATTTTGCAGGCCCTCCAGACTCCATTAAATCAACAATCAACAGGTCATTCATAAAGCCGGCCCCATGAGGAAAAATACTGAGGGATGGTTCAGCCATCTTGCCCCCACCCACCTCCCTATCCCCACCCCCCCTGTTCTTAATGACTCCCCCATCCGCACTGTTGATTCGTCACCCATATCGACTGGCCGTCCTGAGCTAAATCCCCACTCTGTGTACGTGAGTGCACACAGATGCACACAGATCAGAAGAAAATTCCCAGTCACAGGTGTGTGGATGTTGCAAACACTCACAGGTTAAATATAAACGCCTATAAATAAAAAGCACACACATGCACGAACAGTCCATATAATTCACATCCGTTTGACCATTCACGTCTTTATCTCTATTACTGTTTTTTCCTTTTTATGTCAGTTAAAGGAATAGTTTGACATTTTGGAAAATACACTTATTCACTTTCTTGATGGCAATTAAAGGAGGAGATCAATACCACAAGTAGGACTGCAGTGTTAATTTCATGAACGCAAATGATGAAGATGAAATTAGTTACCAAAAATAGAGGTGGCTAAATTGGAATTTCAAAATACAAACTATAACGAAATAACGAAATTACATAGAATGATATTCATCTGCTTTCAGTAAGTTTGTTCCTGACATTTATTATAATTTAAGAATTAGTTTTTGTCAACTAAAAATTGACCAAAAATTTGAAAACAAGCATGGACTTTTGAGCTCAGGACTAAAACTACATTTAAAAAAGCGGACAAAACGCTGGTCTGTACAGTAAATACAAAGCTACTAAGTTACCAGCAGCGGTAAGCTGAGCTTAGTTTAGCATGAAGAATGGGAATAGGGGGGGACAGCTAGCCAGCTCTGTCTGAAGGTGACAATATCAGTCTACCAGCACCTCTGAAGCTCACAAATTTACACATTATATCACGTTTGTTTGTTTTAGAATCACAAGCAGCTAGCCAGGTTAGATTTCTCCCCCCGGCTGTAGCTACATATTCACCACACAGACATGAGTGTGGTATGAATCTCATTATTTTACCCTCGGTTGAGCATTAGGAGTTGCTGTTACTTTCACAACATTCTCTTCTTTTCTGTTGTCACGAAAAAGGTTTTAATTTGAACTAAACAGCTTAATGGGTATCCTCACCTTGTCATGTCAAGTAAATTTTTATTATAGCTCAATATTACAAAGCATATTTCAAAGGGCTAAAAACAGCAACGAGCAATATTAGCAAAACACACGAAAAACGTACTGTGATGTAATGTTTAAATTTATATTTGGTAACAGGGACAAACCAGACTGAGACTCTGTCTGGAAGGGAAAAGAGGAAGGAGTGTTAAAATATGATTCTCAATAGAGCTTGTATTATTTAAAGCTTCGCTTTTACTTTTCCTACCTTTCCTCTCTCTTCTCCTCCCAATTTGTTTCCTTTTATCCCTGACGGTAATGTATTCCTCATGCCAAATACTTCTCGATGCATCTTTTACATCACTTTATTCCTCTTCATCTTTCTGTCCTATTCCTGTACTATTCTCTGCATTCGCCTCTTCTCATTTCTCTTCCCTAATCTCTGTCCATTCTTTCCTCTTCTGTTCATTACTTACCTTCTCTCCTGTCAATGTCGCTGTCTTTTCCATCTCGTTGCTTACTCTCTTCCATATACTTCTCTTAATATTCCCCTCCTCCTCATTATGTTCACCCCCCATTCTTCTCCTCTTTTTTTGCCTGCAGCATTGGTTGACTGAGCTTGAGATCTTTGCCATGATCTTTGCGGCAGCGGTGCACGACTACGAGCACACGGGGACCACAAACAACTTCCACATTCAGACAAGGTAATGGATCATACAATCATGAATTCATGGCTCCGACTCGGCCGATCAATGTTTTCATTTGCAGCGAGGGAGCTTTACAATCACACTGAGGTCGCCTGCAGTGCAGTAATAACGCTGAGGCAGGACGGGAGTCCAAATGAACTCCAAACTCTTTGCCTTTGAGAACTTGAGTTTGAGAGAACACATTGTAACAAAATTAAAGTTACTCGTTTTGTTGATAAACTACTTCATAATGTATCCTTACTTTCACACTGAAAGTCAATTCCTACAATTGTCCAGATTCCTTTAATTCACAAAATGAAACTTCGAAAACTTCATGTCAATAATGTTGTCCAGACCAGAACGTTTCTATACATGATATATTTCAGAGAGAGAAACCTATCAGTTTAATCATTTTTGTATTGTGTACAACCTGTATCTCTTTGACATTGTGACACACAATTTAATTAAAAAGACAAAGCCACATCCAGGGATCAATTGTTTCTCTTGTAGTTGTTCTTTCCAATGTAGACCTATAGAAAGATTGCTCTTTGGTTTCTCTTTGACAGGTCAGACACAGCTATCCTTTACAATGACCGCTCAGTGTTGGAGAGTCACCATGTGAGCGCAGCCTACCGCATGCTGCAGGAAGACGATGAGATGAACATACTCTACAACCTCTCCAAGGATGACTGGAGGTCAGTAAGACAGATAGAGAGTCCAGACATGAGGCAGGCCGAGCAGAACAGTTTCACAGTGTACATGTTCAAAGCCAAAAATGAATTTATCTCTTATTTTTCAAGATTAACAAATGTGCTCAGTGGAGCGAAAATCTGAAAAGCTGGATTACCTTCAAGGTCCAACAACTTTGTGCTAAATGGAACTGTTATGTGTGATAATACATTAAAGGAGACAGCTGAAATCCAATTTCTCACAGCATAAGCTGGAACTTGTCAGGGCAGATATTATAAGTAGCTCTCAAAAACTGTGTTGTCATTTAATTTGAGCAACTTCAGAAATAAGTCAGCTTTATTACCTGTGAGTTTGACAGTACATGGCTCATTTTCATATTTTCCTCTCCTTTGTTTTCCTCCAGAGAGCTTCGGGCTCTGGTGGTGGAGATGGTGCTGGCCACAGATATGTCCTGCCACTTCCAGCAAGTTAAAACCATGAAGAACTTCCTACAACAACCTGAGGGGTCAGTTGACATTTCCTTCACTGCTGTTTACACTCCCCGCCCTTGTCCCAGCAATTTACATCCTCATTGACCTTCCCATCGACCACCGTGTGCTGTACTCACCTCCAGCTGTTTACAACCCAATTAGCTCTGCCCTGAGGATGCACTCAAACATTCACAACACAACAAGCATTCATGTTGTTATCAGGTGGACTGGGACGATATCTGTTGTTCAGGTGTTGTTTACCCCAAATAAAAAATTGAAATGGAATGAGGATCTTGTGGCCAAAAAGATACCAAACATCATGCATTATACAGTGCAAGTATATAGCAAGTTATTGCCCTCTCAGGCACAAACACAGGCTAGTTTGTGTTTTTATGCTGGAAGTCTGCAGCAGAGTTATGGTGCAGTCACACCATGGTGAAATGTATTTGCACACAACAGTGAAAAACAGCCGGCGGCAGATATATTGCTGGCAGGTTTGCTGGCACACGGTGAGGCTGCTACTTGATAAGATGACCAGATAGAAAACATTAGCCGCCCACAAACTATGTAATAGTGTCTTTACCAACACTAATGTTCTGCTGCTTGTATTTTGCTATACAAGCACATAACACCCATTTTTATGTTATCAGAAACTTAATGTCGGGAATTCAAACAAACAGCATTAAATACTATTAGGTGTAGCAGGCCCCGTCCAACCCAAATTTATGAGTTTGATAACCGCTGATTACACCCATTCAATTGGCTGACAACATTGGAAGCAGGTGCATATAAACATAAAAAAGCAGCCATAAATACGTCCTTACCACTTGTGTTGGCCAATGTATCTTTTATTTGAAATGTCCTTTGCACCGTAGTATAACTTTCCCTTTGATGTACATTTTTGTTGTACACACAGTTGTACATCCACTTTTTCCAGTACACACAAGTAAACAAGCTAGCAGGTAGCCTACTGACGTCTTCCTCTCTGTCTCTGTCTCTTACCAATTATTTTTGAATTCCGCAAGTTGAAGTTCAGCCATGTTGAAGACCAACCCTGGTGTATCGCAACAGGAAGTAAATATGTTTCAAATTAATGCATTTTTGTTTGCTGCGACCGAGGTCGCCAGACTGCAGCCGGAACTTCCTAATCACACATTTTGAGCACAGCCCCCTCTACGGTGACCGATAACCGGGACTGCTCTACATGCAGGCACAGAACTAGTCGTTTGCAAACAGAAATAAAAGACAGCTATAAAGCAAACTATCATATGACGTGATGAGTCATCACTGCTGATGGAGCTCGTTGACCTCCGGGGTATTCTTTTCACTCACAATTAAAAAAAACTGCTCAAAAAGTGGAGATAAATAGCTTCCTGAGAACATATTTAGGATTCAACAATATTATGCTTTCTATGCTTGTGAATATATATCAAATTTAAAAGAGTGCTGACTGGAAAGTAATCATAATGCTACAGTATAAGGTACACACACGTGTGCATGCAGATAAATGAGCTTGCAGTCTGCAGGAAGCTGTAACGCTGAATAGACTCTAATGTGAAGTAATTCAAACCAGTCTGCTCCAGGGCTGCTTCGAGTGCACTTTAAGACTCAATCTGCCACAAATGGAATGAAGGGAAATTTGAGCCAGTCTTTCTCACCTCTATTTAACCTCGTGCTGTGATGTGTGTGTGAGTGTGTGTTTTCATTTGTGGGCCTATTTTCCATTTTGTATTGTGTCTGTTCATTCATGCATCAGTCCATTAAACATGATATTTTGATATGGTTATCAAGTGATATCTCAGACACGGCTGATGTCTGATGAGGTGAGATGATGCTTCTTCACACCAGTTCCAGTGTAGAAAATCGATTTGCCTAATGTGTTTTTTTTTTTTTTTACTCTTTTTGGATGGAGGTGCTTCACTGTTTTTAGGTAGCTGTGCAGGTGTGTTTTATGCACACGCTGATAGACATCTATCTATATTTCAGCATCTGTTTAATGAGGATTTGTAGAGAAATATTTTAGCATTTTCTTGCGGGTGCCTCATATTAGATCAATGCCATCCCACGTTTTACTGTTGGGACACCCCTTCTATTGTCTTGGAGGCTGTCCTGGTCAATCAGCAGGCAGTTGGTTGACAAAGTGAGGGTCATCAGCTTGATTAAGCTCACCTGGCTCTTTCAGGCTATAAAAGCTGGTCCACATGCTCATTGTCTCTCTCCCTTCCTACAGCTGACATCCACCCTGCAGCGCCTTCTCTTTTTTTGCACCTTCAACACCTCACACACGCAACACATTCATGCACTACATCCATGACTGATGTTGCTGATCTGCACACCCCACTGTTTGTTTTGTGGTAACTGTTATTGAATATATTGTGTTGGACTCCCGTCACATTCGTTGAGCCAGTTTGTGACATTGTCAACAAATCCCGTGAAGAGACCAACAGTGAATTGATCCCAGTGATACAATAATAAGCATTGTCCTACAGCTTCATTGTTACCCAAAAGCTATTAAAACTAATGAGTGAGCCGCAGTGTTGTTCTGGTTGACATGTTTCTTTAATACCATGAACACAAACATAGAATACTCAGCATATTGCAAAATCGCAATAATATTGTATCGTGACTTGGGAATCGTGGTAATAGCGTATTGTGGGGCCTCTGGTGATTCCCACTCCTAGAAGTCAAACAGTATCGGGAGACGGACTAACACATTGTGGGTTTTGGACTATTCATGGGATTTGTTGACAATGTCACCAGCTTTATCCTCAAAGTGTAAATGCTCCTAGACCTATAGACACCTGAACCCTTCTGCAGTCAGCCATTGCAATCGCATATGTTTGAGGGTTCTTACATCCTTTTTCATGTTGAGCATGATATACTGGATTATCTGTTTTTTCACATCTTATTGTGCAGTTCTTGCTCAGATGGTCCATATTTGTGGACAGATTACTGTAGAAACATTTGCAGCTGTGCCACATTTCTTTTTCATTTCTATTTTTTATGATTGACCCTACTGTTTTCAGGGACTCTGAAAATGTTCTTCCATGTTTGGCATTTTCCAATAACCTTGTTGCAGATTTGTCTAGAATATGTGTTTGTCCTCATTATGTAGTTTTTGCCAGGACAATGGCTAAGCAAGGGTTTGGCCTACCAGATACAGGTGTATTTAACCTAAAATCCCTTGTCAATGTTGATCTTATATCTTATTATGGTGAATGGTAAAATACCGTTTGGCTGTACCTGTAATGATTTCAGTTCGTACAATTATTTATCTCGGTCGTTATTGCAGCATTGACAAGCCCAAAGCCCTGTCCCTGCTGCTGCACACAGCAGACATCAGCCACCCGGCCAAACGTTGGGACCTCCACCACCGCTGGACCACCTCCCTACTGGAGGAGTTCTTCAGACAGGTGAGTGGGTGCACATGGCTAGGTCTCGGAGTGGTGCATGGGTAGCTGGTCCAGTGTATGCTTCAGTGTTTTGGAGACGTGAGATGCAGATACATGTAGAGAGGCACACTTCTAGGGCCCTTGAACGAAAAACCTAAATGAAATGCAGACATTTATAATAATTATTATACATTAATAATGCTCTTCAGCTTTGGGTCGTGTCATATGATCTTCCTCAGCAGGTGGAGTTCGCCCACTTACTTACTACTACTATTATTACTACTTTTCGACAATTTTCAAAAGTTGAGATGAAAAGTTCATTCTTGACCTTCAAATCACACCTGTTCCCTTCCTGCTATGTGAATATGCTCTGGTGTTTGGGAGGAAGTATTCTCCTAAGACTTCTCAGAATTGCTGAAAGATGAATTTAAAATGATTAATCTTTTCTCAGAGAAATACACTCAGATTGATTTCAGCCGCTTCATTACTGTTGGTGTTTAGGAATGTACTGGCTGCAACAAAAGCTATTTATTTTTTAAATTTAGTCCGATGCGTGTTAGGTTTCTGCACACCAAGAATAAAACAATGATGATATAAGTGAATGATTGTTTTAATACGGTGCTTTACGTTAGTGAGATATGCAGTCATATTCATAAGTTTGATGGCATTGCAGACATTCTGCTCCTTGTCATTTTTATAATTGATGCCCCTGACAAAGCGCCATGGCAGATTAAAATGTAGAACATTACCTCTTTGATAAAACAATGCAATTGGCTCTGAATAATATTGATAGTGGATTTGTTAATGTCAACAAGAAGGACAGTCGTCTAACTAGTGCCACATTGCTTTCATCCCCTCCGTTATTTATCCGCATTGTTCTCACTATCCGAGCTATTGTTATTGTGTTTGCTTTCACAAGGCCTTTATCTCTCGAGATATGAATAGCCAATAAATAGCCCCTCTGAAGAACATTGCCTCTTGACTCTACATCTCGTCTTTTTGTGACAAATCAGAGGAGAAAATGAAACACATTTGTGTCACAAAGCACTTGTTGTGGTAGGGGCCAGACAAATCCAAAGCCTGTTGATAGAAGTGTGAGCATATGGTGTACGGTGGCGGTGTGTACGAGTGTGTTTACGAGTGTCTGTGTCTGGAGGGTGATGGGCTACATTTTTATCGAAACCAAAGAATGAGAACAATTTACTGAGGAAGCTGCTGTATTTCCAGGGGGACAAAGAATCAGAGCTTGGCCTGCCATTCTCTCCACTCTGCGACCGAAAATCCACAATGGTGGCCCAGTCCCAAATTGGTGAGTTCAAATGCACCACCAGCATAATAGTGTGTCTGTATGGCTACACAAGTTCTGCTCAAGCATGAGTTCATTTCAGAAAAAAAAAAGTTTTCTTTGTAAAGGATTTATTTACCATGAAGATTAAATGTTGTGCTTCCATTAATAAATAATGGTAGTATAATAGAGAACAGTTTCCTTGATAGAGAACTTACTTATGATTAATAATGTCTCTTTTCTTCAAAGACCAAAGCTCTGTCCTTTACCACCTTATTTTTTTTATTGATTGAGTCTTATTAGGAAACAAACAAGCACAGGACTTTCACCCTGGAGACCGCTGTTCGTGTCTTGTGTGAAACCAAGTCAACGTTGCCTTACTTACTCACTCACTGCCACGTAATTTACGGTCTAAAGTTCCGGTTCAGTTATGTAACAAACACACTTAATTTTAGTAACAAACACACCACACACCACAATCTTATCCTATGCCTAACCAAGAACTTATGTTGCCTAAACCTAAACAAGTAGTTTTGTTGCATAAGTAAACCTAAAAATTAATAAACCTACGTTCAAGGTTTATTTCGAAAAGAGACTGTGTGCATGTCATGACCGGAAAACGAAACGTTATTTTCAGAAGCATGCATGTAACGAACAGAAAGTGACACGTCCAAAACTGACCCTAGAGTGGTACTTAGGGCTTCATAGTTAGAAGCGTAGGACCACTGACCAAGCGGTGGAATTGGACAAGTTGGGAGAGAGAATATGTTGCTTGTGTAAAGCCCCATTATCTTCCACAAGAAGATAAGTCTGCCTGTATGTTGGCTGAAAGGCGGAATCCAGGGAACAAGTCTGCAAATGACTAACTGGTCGCTTGGAAATGTTAAAGCAAATCCTGAAGGTTTTATCCTTCTTTAATATGCTCCCGTTTAGGCTGCATTTTTGCGCAAAGCCAGGACTATGCATTCTGTCCCTCATCTCTTACATCAGAATAGGATTAGGGAGACATGGCTTTGTAGCCATAGGAGGAGAAATTACAGCGAAAAAAAAACGGTTTAATGTGAATATAGGCATGTGAATATTGTTTTAAGATAGACTTGGACAATTTGAACCTATCCTTTAATAGCTGTGACCGCACAGTAGTAATTGAAGTCGATGAAGATGAACGTTTTATCAGCTCAGAGCTTCTCCAATCTGCATTTTGGCAGCTGGACAGTCTAAAGGCACCATTAACACCTACGGACTTCATTTTATTTGTATCTAAGGTTTGATAATTGATTTTACAACATTCTGGAAATACATTCCAATTTTAATTTCATAAATTGCAGCATTACCGTGATTGTTCTGGGCTTCTTTTTGTCCACGTATGCATTCAATAATTCAAACACTAAGATAAAGAATGTGAATATGTATAAACGGATGACACTATGTTCTGAATTTGCTGGTATCTTTGTCACCAGGGTTCATTGACTTCATTGTGGTGCCCACCTTCACTGTGCTGACGGACATGATGGAACGCATCGTCAAACCGCTCATCGACGAGGCATCCCATGCAGGTTTTGCCGGCTTCAGACGCTCAAGGTGAGCTGCAGCACTTACTCTGAGAAATAATTTGGAAATGAAAACTTGGGATTCTTCTGTGCTGCTCACTAGCAGGACTGAGCAGATGGACGTGGGTGAATGTATGTAAATCCGAGTACATTTGAATCAACCTGCCTGCCTAAACAAGAATGGAAAATCTACCGTTTTCTACCCTTCACCTCTCATACCTGTCGGAGTAACTGCTCGCTCTATGACGTGATTAAACCCCAACAGCTCCCCTGCAATAACAGCATATCTAATGGAGGAGAACAGCAGATGAGTCTCCCATGAGTAATCCATTTCTGTGCGTGGAAATGTCTCCACCTTTCATCGGGCAGAGCCACACACCTTGAAATTGATATTTTAGAGATGCTAAACTCGTTGTCCCTGATCGAGAGTGGGCCTCAGTGCTGGATCGGCATACACAATGGCCTCTTGAGATATAAAACACAGTGGTTGGGTCTCCACTGGCTTACTTAATTGGCTGAGTACTTTTCCTCCAGCCACATACTAAATCACATATATGCAAGGCTTTGAAACCATCCAGATAAGAAAGGTCATTCCACTTGTTCTTGGGTTACTAATAATTAAACTATCCAGACAAAGATCATTTAAAAAATAATTGTCTTTTATTTGTTTATTAAAGTGAGCTTATTGGGAAAAAACAGCCCTACTTTGGGAGTCTGGTCCTGCATCTTCTGTTGCACCTGCGCATCAATATCAGCCTCCCCGCTCTCCTCAACAGCAGTCATTAGCATCACTCAGTGGGCCTCCAGTCGAAGTTAACCGAGTGGAAATCTCAGATAGTGTTGCCACTTGTGCAGTCTCCTTGTCTTCGTACACACCTGGGTGCTGATGGGTTTTCTTGGACTGTTTCTTCCCAGCATTTAGAGCAGCTTTCAATCATCTATAACGAGTCTGCTCTCTCTGTCTTCCTCTGATTATCTACCCGTCTTTCTCTCTTCTTCTCTCAATGTGCCTCTGGCTCTGGAAGCTCTGGTTTTTTAAGCGCTTTCTAGGGATGGCAATGTCAGTCTGTCGGTTTTGTTGGTCCACCACTTTGGTCCACACTAAAACGTCTCATCTATGTGCCCTAGCCGATATAGTGGAATTGTAATCTCTAAAAGGGGAACTCCAGCTATTTAGTTTTGGACTTCCATCAATTTGTGGCATCCACAAGAGACCTTTTTGAAAAAGAATGGTTTAGAATTGAAGCAGCAGAGGGTGAGATATGCTGACTTTTAGTCCCAAGTATGGGTCAAGCTTAATTAACCCTTGACTCCACATTTCCCATAATGCAACTTGACAACATCTTCCATCAGACCCCTGCCTCTTAAATGCCCATTTCTTTAAATTCAGTGTGAAAGCTTAGAAACTTTGTAAAGCTCCCTCCGGAACAACAAAAACATTATTAAACTGTTTCCACACAGACTGAGTAGCATTCAAGTAGTTCAAACTGAACTTTATGTGTAAAATAGGTGAGACGTGCTCTTTTAACTTTTCGTCTAGTGCCATCAGGTCAAAATCTTAATTTGTTGGTTGATGAACAAATTTCTGCAAAACTAAGGACTTTCACATCAGCGTCAGTACTTTGTGTTTAGCAAATAGAGCACGCTAAACTAAGATGGTGAATAAACATACATGCTAAACGTCAGCATTTGTCTTTGTGAGCATGTTAGCATGCTGACATTAGCATTTAGCTTAATAAGCACCACTGTGTCAGTACAGCCAACACAGAGCTGCTATCATGGCTGTAGGCTCTTAGTCTTGATTCACTTTTAACGCTCTTCATCCTACGCATTATTCTGTCCAGTCTGAACAGTCTTAGCTCAGAGGAGTCCAAGAGGCACAGTGTGAAGAGCTCCGACAGCAGCTCGTCGGGACAAAGCTCTCTGCTGATGGTGGACCTGAAGAACTTTAAGGCGTTGTGGAACGAAGAAGTGTACCAGAATAGAGAGAGGTGGAAAGCTCAGGCTGCTAAAGGTACAGTTTACCCATACAACCAAATATACAGGTACATGGAGGTGATTTGGGGGACATTCATATTGCTTGTAGTGATGATCAGTTTGCAGCTCTACACACATTATTTCATTTTATTATTTTGGTTTTCCAGTCAGCATCTTTACAGTTTGGTTCACTCTCACTGCTCAAATCAGCACCATTTTATAAAGAAAAAAAAAAAAAAAAAGCTCTAGTAATCCACAGTCCACTACAGGCTCAGCACCAAACAGCAGACATACACAGTTAGCTGGTAATGGAGCATCTGGTCTGGTAATGGAGCATTTAGCAAATAAAGTGCCAGATATTTGCCTCTGGATTTGGTAGAAACAAAAACAGTAACCAGAAACACAACTCTGAATGAATGCGTATGTTGCTCCGTAACTGCTGGATGTGTAAATAGACAGCTGTTTGCTAGTTTACCATGTCAACATAAAGGTGATAAATGTGTTTCCAGCTTGTTTCTGCTGCCCCCAAGTGGCCAAAATCTTATTTGATACAGGTTTAAGTTAATATTCATAGAGAGGTTTTATCAAACGGTCCGAAACGGTCAACTGAGCTCCCTCAACGTTTACTGGCTTTAAGTAAGAATAAAGCTGCAATGACTTAATGCACACAGACACTCAAATACGCTAACCTGCCTCCATCCTCCATGTGACCTCAGAGGCGGAGGAGAGAGCTAAAAGGGAAGCGGAGGAGCAAGCCCAACAGGAAGAGGCGATGGAGCCCCAGGAGGTCCACACAGAACCAGAACAGCCTGAACCAAAGGAGGACCAACTGGAGGGGGAGGAGCTTGAGTCGGCGGAGGTCAGACCACCAGATGGTAACATGGGGGAAACAGAGCAGGGAGCGCAGCCAGGGAGCGCCACGCACAAGAATCCTCCACTGCAGAACGGTACGTCCTGCTAACTGTGAAGTCCCACAGCAGCAGGTGGCATAAGGCAATTTACATACAGTACGTTGACATGCATACATAAGTGATCATCAAAGCTGCAGTGCATGTTTCTATCGTTCATTTTCATTATCAGCGACACGGTTTGGATTTGTTCATCTCCCAACTTTTGGTACCCATTCACTTTCTTCTAAAGCAGATAAATAATTCTGAGATGCTACACCAAGTATATTAAAACGGTGACCCCGAAAGGTCCCAGTAATTGTTTTGTCAATGAGAAGTATTGCTTATTGTCTTGAATCATTGCAGGAATAAGTCAACTAGAATTGAAAACAAGGTCCTGTGGGTTTGAACTGTGTTTGGCTGCACAGCATGGGTTTGTGAGATAGAACATGTTTTTACAAACTTCACAAAGGGGAGAGAATGCTTTGAGAATATTTTTTTCATTTTCTTGTTTGAATAGAGTGCATGTCCTGTCACCACTAAATGTGCATCAGTGGGACAAAATAACAAGACTACTCTGACTTTTCAGGAGCGTTATCTGAAGGGACTGTATCTCCAGAGGTTGAAGAAAACAAGAACAAAGGAGACGATGGTGAGTTTTATTCCTGCAGTCCACGACTATTGACAAAAGAAATAAATTGAAGTGTCTAGGTACACCAAGCTAAAACAAAAGTAGTCTAAAAGAGGACTAATTATTGATAGTCCTTGTTTGTTTTCCCAAAGCAGAGGTGGCGATGGAATAAGCCAGCTGTGGAGAATCACGGCCTCACTGTCACTGACCTGAACCTGCTTTTACTTGTATGCGAGGACTCCCGCTCACGCCAGAGGAAAAGCCATTAGTTGGACTGTGTTGCCCTCTACAGGACACCAAGAAACTGACACCTTCACTTCCTTTTTTTTGTCTCTATGATTAACTGTTTTTACTTTTACCATGTTTATGCTCCCAGGCTATTGTATGCAGAGCTTGCAGCTCAACGCACGTGCATTATTCCTACCTTCCTGCTTCCTGATGAATACAATATAGAAGAATATTTAATGACCTTGTGATGGGAGGGGGGGGACGAAGAGGAGCCTTTGAAAGACACTGAAAATGTTGCTTTTCTAATTTTAGTTTGCCAATCGTTTACTTCGCTCTACTTGTGTGCTTAACTCAGACCACAGACATGTAGCCATTCTATTCAAAACCCACTTTTCACTGCTGTATTACGCTTCTCTGTCGGCACACAAGACAAGTTTGTTTGCAGACAAGGGTTTTGCATCACAGTGATTTATATTGGTACTAACTGAAGAATACATTGTGGGAAATGCAGAGTAGATGTACATCAAGAGGGACGTCTATAGCCGCTGCACAGTATGTACTGGATACAAGTAAGTGTACAGTTCATTGGGGTTGAATTGACAGGTTTACAGCACTAATATTTTACTAGAAAGTACTCCTTAAACGTATCTCTGTGTAGAACATTTGAGTTGTCCCTGTGCTGCAGGAGCTCCGGTTGGGAGTCTCTTAGGTTTGCTGAGGCTACTACAAGAAACCAGTCGTGGCTCATATTTCTTCCCTCCACATGTTTACTTTCTTAGTGCTTTCCTCAAATGCATTTGTGTTCCTTGCAGCCAGGTTTGTGTTGTTTTTGTGTGTTTCTGTCCTCTTTACTGTATATATTGAAAGTTTGTATATGTATGGAAATGAGGAGGAGTAGAAATCCTACAATTCCACAATCCATCAACAGGTTTTTTTTTCTTTTTGGGTATAATGTAAGATAGTGTAGTGAGAAATATCCAAAAATTAGAATGCAACTTTTGCATCTCAAACATATCACACATTCAAGTTTTTGTAACATGTAAAATGTTTTTCTTTTACTTTTATTTTGTAACAATCTTATTTGTTTTGCATTTGTTGTGTCCTATATGAATCATGCACTAGACGTGTCTAATATCCTCACACTATGTCGTTTCTTCGTCAAAAGACTTCTTCTTGATGCCTTCTTATATCTATTTAAGCTGTAGCAAAAATGTCAAGATTGTCGCTGAATTAGAGAAAAAGCTCACATATTTTATTTTGCAGTACAGTTATGTTACAGCAGCTTCGCCTATGAGGTTGTTGGTGTAATGTTTTAATCGTGTTTACAGTGAGCTCGTACACTTATTAGCCAGTTGAATCCATCATGCTTCTGTGATGCATCCGAGGCTACGAGTCCAAACTGTGTCTGCTTCTTGTCTGTATGCCGGGTTTTTAAGGCTTGTAATGTTGTGTATAGGAGATGCAAATATCGCTTACTGTGCATATGTAACATATTGAACCTCTGCAACGCTGGTTCAGCTTTATACACTTAATATGTGTAATTGAAAGAAAAGAAGCATTTTGACAGTATTCACTTAATAATGGATATTTTGTCCCTAAAATTTAACACTTTTATTTTGTTTTTCCTTATGTTTTACATTCTTTTGGTATGAAAATCTCAACATTTATTGTGCCAATATCAGGTTCTTGGCATATTATTTTAAAATATACTGTACATATGTGTACTGGTACATATACTAAAACATAAAGTATATATGGGGTTCAAAGAGGGTGAATAATCCAGCATCTAAACATTTATATAAAACTGTAGGAATGATTTTATAGCCTCTTTGTTTTAATACACACGACTCATTTTTATATTATGACAGGAAGGTAATATATAAAGCAGTTTATCACGTAATGTAACCACATGCATCTTTCTACTTAAAATACAGTCAGTGGTTAGCAAGACAGCTGGCTGAATGTGTGCCTATATATGTACTTTCCATTTCACACCTTTCACCTGTAGGAAAACGAATTATGTGATGTCATTTGAATTTGTGCTGATCCAGGTACAGTCAAAGAAAACATTCATATCTTCCTACAGTTATTCACACTAAAGAGTCTTCTGTAAAGACTTTAATTTTAGACACTGTTGAAAAGTCAGGAGTTTGATGTCGCAGAAGTATAGTCATTAAGTGGTAGATTATTTTTGCTCGTTTTCATTTAGGAAAATCAGTTTTATCGCTGTGTAGCTTTTTCTGTTGTAGTGTACTGTTCAGTGGATTGTCCAAAAGTCTTCAACATGTAATGGCATTTTTATTTTGTCATTTTGTCTCTCCTCTCTGGTTCATTCGTCCCTGTGTGTGTCTGTTCCATATGTTTTAGTCCACCAGCTCTGAAGTCAGAAAAAACAATTCAAGTGGCTCAAAACTGTAAATTCAAAGTGTAACAACTATATAGAGATTCGATTTATTAATAGAACCAATACAAAACTCATTGTGTGCCCAAAATCGCCTGCCTAACACTTGGTAAAGCAAAATATATTATACCAAGGGACCAACACATGTACAGTCTTATAGTTTGCTCTATCTTTCACTTGCTACTGTGTTAGCCTATACTGTATGGATATTTAAAAATAATTTATACCAACCATAATCAAAAAACATAGCTGTATTTATGACATGCTCAGACTTCTAAATAATGGTGTTTTGTAATTGTTACTACAGAACAGATTAATTGTTGTTTGTTTAATGCTTTGTCTCCTTGTTTAGTGTGAATCAGTCGGATCTCAAACTGTTCTAGTGACCGAGGTTAGATGGATGTAAAGCGTGTGTGTGTGAGAAACTGCCGAAAAATACTTAATTAATGTGCATTTCTGATCTCCTCACTGTGACCTGCTCTATCGATGAGAGTGTGATGAGACGAGTGTGTGTGTGTGTGTGTAAGAGAGAGAGAGA